GCCTTAGCCGGTTGAGCTACAGGCGCCGAGCCTACAAATTTTTTTTTCAAAAAAAATTTTTTTTTTTTTTGGAGACAAGAGTCTCAAGTTGTCACCCTGGTTAGAGTGCCGTAGTGTAGTGTCACAGCTCACAGCAACCTCCAACTCTTGGGCTTAAGTGATTTTCTTTCCTCAGCCTCCCAAGTAGCTGGGACTACAGGTGCCGACCACAATGCCCAGCTATTTTTTGGTTGTAGTTCCATTGTTGTTTTTTAGCTGGCCTGGGCCAGGTTCCAACCCACTAGCCTTGTTGTATGTGGCGAGCGCCCTACCCACCAAGCTACAGGTACCGTCCCAATTTTTTTTTTTTGAGACAGAGTCTCACTTTGTCGCCCTTAGTAGCATGCTGTGATGTCATAGCTCACAGCAACCTCAAACTCATGGACTCAAGTGATCCTCTTGCCTCAGCCTCCCAAGTAGCTGGGACTACAGGTACCTGCCACAATGCCCAGGTATTTTTAGAGTCAGGGTCTCTGGCTCAGGCTGGTATTGAACCTGTGAGCTCAGGCAAACCACCCGTCTCGGCCTCCCAGAGTGCTAGGATTATAGGCATGAGCCACTACTCCCGGCCCTACAATTTTTTTTTTAATTATTATTTTTAATTTCCTTGCCTTTTTGTTGAGACAGAGTCCCACCCTGTGCCCTGGGCAGAGTGCAATGGTGTTATAGCTCAGCCTCCGGAAGCCACTGGGATTACAGGTGCTCGCTGCAGCGCCCGGCTGGGTTTTTCATTTTTTTAGGATTCAGGGTCTCACTCTCACTCCTACGTTTGATAGCTTTTTGTTATAATTAGGGTGGAAAGTTAAGGTAGAAATCCACAGAGGTGAGCAGACAGAAACACATAATATTTATATTTTATATTTTACCTAAGCTAAAACCTTGGTCTTAACTCTTGACTGTTTAGCTGCTACTTTTTTGGTTCATATTACTTCTCATCTCTCGCCCTGCCTGCACTGTTCTAAGTTGCCTCCCCATTCTGCTCTCTATTGCCATTCACCACTCTCTCCCCTCCCCAGTCCATCTTTCATGCTGCCTCCACACCTGTTCATCTTCCTAGAACTGACACTAGATCCCATCATCTTCTTTAAAATGTTAAGTGGTTCCTCATTGTTTACAATCTAAGCCAGTATGGGCAGCATTGTTTCTTAAAACAGTCTTTTTAAACCTCCAAGTTTAAACCTCCTTACACAATGCCTGGCACATAATAGGTGCAAAAACAATATTTGGGTGCTGAGTGATTCCTGGCTTGGATTCTGGCGTTTACGTTTATAAACTCATTTAATCCTTATGTTAGTAAAGCAATACTAATTGCTGCAACAGATCAACTCCTTGAAATGTGGCTTAACACGATGGTTCTTTTCCTTGTTGATGGCACACTCCAATGCAAGTATTCCTGGTTGGACTCATTTTCTCTAAGCAATAGTTGAGGGATGCAGACTATTTCAATCTTGGAGTGCTGTTTCTTTAATATGGTGGCTTCCAAAATTACCTGACATTTCCATTCTGGCCAGCCAGAAAGGGAAAAGAACACAGAGGATCACTCCTGGAAGATTTTTTTATAAGTCCAGCCAAAAAGTGGTATATATCTGTATCTGCCTACATTTCAGCAGCCAAAATTAAGCTACACAGCCATGCTGAAATATGGGAGGGAAGCAGGGAAATATAGTTCAGCTGTATATCTGGGAAGAGGAGGAGATGGAATTTGTTAAGCATGGCAGTCTGCCAGAGTCTTTTTTTTTGGTGTGGGGTAGAGTTCCCTTTGTTGCCCTCAGTAGAGTGCAGTGGCATCATAGCTCACAGCAACCTCCAACTCTTGGGCTTAAGTTCCTCAGTTTTTCTGTTTTTAGAAAGACAGGGTCTTGCTCTTGCTCAGGCTGGTCTCAAACTTGTGAGCTCAAGCAATCCACCTGCCTCGGCCTCCCAGAGTGCTAGGATTATAGGTGTGAGCCACTGAGCACAGTCTCGCCAAGTCCTTATACACTAATCCAGACCTATTTGGATAAGTTCTTAGTGCTCTTCTTTTTCCTTGATATAGACTGAATTGTGTTTTCCCAAAATTCATTTTGTGGAGCCCCAACCCCCAAAGTGATGATATTGAGGGATTACTTTTGGGAGGTATTTAGGATTGTATTAGGTATTTAGGATTGTATTAGGTTAGATTGTATTAGGCAGAGCCCTCACAGTGGGATTAGTGCCTTTATAAGAGGAGAATGCTGGAGAGCTTGCTGGTCAGTATTCTCCCTGTGCACACACACAAGCAGAGGTCATATAATCATGCAGCAATCTGGCAGCCACCTCTAAGCTGAGAGAAAAGGCCTTGTCTGCACCATGATCTTGGGCTTCTAAGCCTCTAGAACTATGAAATGTCATTTAGTCACCAGTGTCTATTTTGCTGTGCCATCCCGAGTAGACTAATAACCCTCCTTCCCCCAACTCGGATTCTGTAGTGACAAATAAGGTAATCCAGATGAACTCCCTTTCCTCTAGACTCCTCTCAGCTGGAGCCACCAGAGTTTATGCTATCTTGACTCATGGAATCTTTTCTGGTCCGGCAATTTCTCGCATCAACAATGCATGCTTTGAAGCAGTAGTAGTCACCAATACCATACCTCAGGAGGACAAGATGAAGCATTGCTCCAAAATACAGGTGAGAGTGAAATTCTTGCAAAAGAAGACTTCCCTAAGTGTTCAGGAGGGTGTTAGATATGTTGAATTAGGTATCTGGATTCGGAAGATCTCCTTCTTTGATCCCTTTTTTCTTTTTTTTTGAGACAGAATCTCATTTTCTTACCCAGGCTAGTGTGCCATGGCATCAACCTAGCTCACAATACCCACAAACTCCTGGGCTCAAGTGATTCTACTGCTTCTGAGTAGCTGGGACTACAGGCATCCACTACAAGGCCTGGCTAATTTTTCTGTTTTTAGTAGGGATAAGGGTCTCACTCTTGCTTAGGCTGATCTTGAACTCCTGAGCTCAAACAACAGTCTTCCGTCCGTCCTTGGCCTCCCAGAGTGCTAAGATTATAGACCTAAGCCACCATGCCCAGCCAGTTGGGTTTTAGTTTGAGGATTTAGTTTGTCATCAGAATCTGTTCTAAAAATCAACAGGTGAAAAGTTGCCTGTTCAGAAGTTCAAATTTCTGGACTTCAGAGTTTCTGGAGGGTTAAGCCAAGGAGTCTACTTTTTTTTTTTTTTTTTTTTTGCAGAGACAGAGTCTCACTTTATCACCCTCAGTAGGGTCCTGGCGTCACACAGCTCACAGCAACCTCCAACTCCTGGGCTTAGGCGGTTCTCTTGCTTCAGCCTCCGAGGAGCTGGGAGTACAGGTGCCCGCCACAATGCCCGGCTATTTTTTTTTGTTCTAGAGACAGAGTCTTACTTTATCACCCTCAGTAGAGTGTTGTGGCATCATACAACTCACAGCAACCTCCAACTCCTGGGCTCAAGCGATTCTCTTGCCTCAGCCTCCCAAGTAGCTGGGACTACAGGCAACCGCCACAATACCCGGCTATTTTTTTTTGTTGCAATTTGGCCGCTGCCGGGTTTGAACCCACCACCCTTGGTATATGGGGCTGGTGCCCTACCCACTGAGCCACAGACGCTGCCCAGGAGTCTACATTTTAACAGGCTTTCCCTGTGATTCTGATGCACATTACAATTTGCAAATACCTACTTTACAGCATGTTTGTCTTAGTTTTAACTATAGGCCCCTGTAGTCCTAATGTGAAACCTTTAAAATGATTGACTACTCCTTAGAACTTTTCATGTTTCTCAAAGTATGCTCTGTACCTAAGGTTCTTATTATTAAAATGTAGATTCCTGGCTTGGTACCCATAGCGAGGTGGTTAGGGCACCAGCCCTCATACATTGAGGCAGGCGGGTTTGAACCTGGCCCAGGCCTGCTAAACAATAATCATAACACCTGCAACAAAAAATAGCTGGGCATTGTAGCTGGCACCTGTAGTCCCAGCTACTTGGGAGGCTGAGGCAAGAGAATTGCTTGAGCCCAAGAGTTTGAGGTTGCTGTGAGCTGTGTCGCCATAGCACTCTACCGAGGGTGACATAATGAGACTCTGTCTCAAAAAAAAAAATGTCAATTCCTTTGCTCCATCCAAGAACTACAAAACCAGAAATCCTGGAACCAGTTATTTTAAAGTAATTCCTCAAGCAATTGTTTGACAATAATGTTTGAGTGCTGTTTCACTGAAGGAAAAAGACATTGCATTAATTAAAAATGTGTGTAGTAACCTATTCTCTTTTTCCCCCATTCTTAATGGCTTTTAAATGCCAGCCCACCACCATTTTGATGAGCCAGAATCAGAGTTTTTCTTCTGTTAGCATTTTGAGTCTTTTCTAAAGTGGTCATGTTTTTTGTTTTTTGTTTTTTTTCCTAAGTGGTCATGTTGAAAATGTTCTGAGAGTAGCTGAGTACAGGCTACTGAGTGGAAACAGCACTCACTGGGTGGGGGCACTCTGGGCTCCTCATCCCTGTCTGCAGATTGGCTGATCATCTCTGTCCATATGATACTAACCTGATGATGCCCCTCTTACCTTTTTAGGTGATTGACATCTCCATGATCCTTGCAGAAGCCATCAGGAGAACCCACAATGGGGAATCTGTTTCATACCTGTTCAGCCATGTCCCTTTATAACAGAATAACTTTTGAAGCTTTTTAAAAATAATGTCAACCCCTACCCCTTTGTTTTCCCTTGGTATTTGATGATAAATCAGCAGAAGACCCAGCTTGCCCCAGTGAGCTTTCTACATCCCACATCAAGCATATTAGATAGAGCTTTTCCTAAATGAGGGAAGACATATTGAGATTAACTGCTGGGATGTCCTCCCTGTGTTGTCTCATTGTGGCTTCCTTGATGATTTTGTGAGCCTTGCAGCTTTAACCATATGCTCAGCTGCTGCAAGATGTTAGATTTTGAAGATGTTGTATAGGGGTATTTGACTGTGATTGGGGAAGCTCGGACTATTTTGCATGTGAATGCTTCAGGGTTTTCTTTGTTCAGAACTAGCTGCAAAGCCAACCCAAGTAGGACAAGATCTCCAAGATCTATGCTATTCAGCAAGAGGCCTGGGCTGCCCTAAACTTAGTCCTTCCTGGTAGCTGAGCAGGAGCAGACAGATCAGCTTGAGCAGCCCTTGGGGGGGGGGGTTTGGGGAGGGTAAGGGTGGGGGGTGTGTGGCACTTAGTGCATCAAATGTTTCTTGGGAGGAAGAAGCCTGATCATCACCATCTGCTTGACTATGTAGCTTGGAATCTCTTTGTACCTATTCCTTTCAGTTTGGCCTACCTTCATCCATCTTGACCGTTTCCTGGCCAAATATCCTCTTGGGCCCAAATGAACCATGTACCATAGTCTTCTGGAAAACCAACTTGCTTCCTGGTGTGTAACTGCTAACATTCACATTAGATGATTTGCTGTAGCTCAATCTTCCTTAGCCTACTACCGCTGCAGCAGTAGGTTTTAGGTGATATTGTAGTGCCTTTGAATTCATTTAAGTATTTAATTTTCATCTTCCTTCCTCAGATCTGTTTAGCCTCTCAAATGACCTGAGATTTCTGTTTAAAAAGATTGATGTTATTGTCTCTTGTAGAGGAAACTAATAAAGTGTCTGTACTTGTGTGATTTGGAGTCTGTATCATACCTTTGCTGATCACTTTGCTAAATGTTTGGTTTAGATGCCTTTCTGCCCAATGATAGCACTTATTTCTTTGTTTCCAAACTATTTTAGCTACATTTTTCTTTTTTGAGACAGAGTTTCACTTTGTCACCTGCAGTGGAGTGCCAACCTCCAATTCTTGGGCTCATGCGATTCTCTCCCCTTAGCCTCCCATGTAGCTGGGACTACAGGCACCCACCACAACAATCAGCCATTTATAGAGGCAGGGTCTTGCTCTGGCTCAGGCTGGTCTTGAACCTGTGGGCTCAGGGCAATCCACCAACCTTGGCCTCCCAAAGTGCTAGGATTACAGGTGTGAGCCATCACACCTGGCCTTTAGCTGCATTGATAAGTCAAGAGAACAGATGGGCAGCAGCTTTATTCAATTGTACAATTTTAGGATTTCTGAGTTTACTGTGAACTAGATACACTATAATTCTGTGCAGTGTACCTGAATTATTGGGTGTACAATGCCTGCTGAATCTCTAGTTCTTATTCCTGGGATATGAATTAGGTATTTTTTTTAGAGAAATTTCTATGATTTATTCATTTTTGAGCCATTTTTGCCAAATGTGATCATTTCCTTCCATTCATCAGTGATTAACATGTTTTGCATTTATTTTTTACCCTTTAAAATAAAATTTGTTTTAAGAAGGTGGCTCAGTGGATAGGGCACCAGCCCTATATACCAAGGGTGGTAGGTTCGAAGCGGCCCTGGCCAAATTTCAACAAAAAAATTGCTGGGAGTTGTGGCCGGTGCCTATAGTCCCAGCTACTGGGGAGGCTGAGGCAAGAGAATTGCCTAAGCCCAAGAGCTGGAGGTTGCTGTAAGCTGTGATGCCTCAGCACTCTACCAAGGGCAATAAAGTGAGACTCTGTCTCTACAAAAAGAGAGAGAGGGTAAATGTACAAAAGTTAATAATGAATTATAACACATTCCAAATTTTAAGTGAGTTTCTTT